TTTGGAAGCCATGCAAGGGTCAACAGGCTGCACATGAGTGCCTTTCCCAAATCCTCTTTCTTGTTTTAACAGATCAAACAGATGAAGCATCCCTGCTCCAGGCAAAGGCCTCCATTTGTATTCTAGAATGGAGCTCTTCTGTCTTCTCAAGGAGTTGACTCCTGTAACTTTTGCCTTTTTCTTGCATCATAAATCTCCCCCCTCTACTAAATCATTCCTGTGAGCATATAATCATGCTCTAGTATTTCCAATTTACAAAAGCAGTCCCCTTGACCTTATATCTTTTTCTAGTTACTGACCCATTTCTGCCTTCTCACCTCTTTCACCTCAACCTTCTTTCAAGTGGACTTCTATCATCATCATTCCACTGAGACTGTATTTACAAGATCGCCAGTCATCTTCATGTTGCCAAACTCAATGGTCATTTCTGTTATCTTACTTGACCTTTTGGAAGCATTCAATCCAATTGACCTATCTCTCCCAAATTGTACACTTCATTTCTGAGATATCATATTCTCCTGTTTTCCTCTCAAGAGGTCTCTTCTGCTGGATCTTCCTCCTCTACTGGAACGCAAAAGTTTGGATGGCTCCAGGGCTCTGTCCTGGGCTTTCTCCTGTTTTCTATTCTTTCCCAGATGATCTCACTCACGTCACGCTTTAAATTCCTTACTCATGCCAGTGACACTCAAGCTCTGACCTCTCCTCTGAACTTCAGACTCCAGTATCAAACTACCTCCTTAATGTTTCCACATATACACGATATTTTTCTCTATTTTAGTTCTTTAACTTTACTATTTCTTAGAGTATTCATAAGATTTTCAGTTGTGTTTCCTGCCATCAAACCTAGAGTTTACCAACCAGCTCAGACAATGAAAAAAAATAACACTACACTGACTAAGAGATAGGATTTTTTAACTTTTTTTTAAGGTTATTTTTTCTGCTTTGGAATGTTAATTATGCTTACAATACTTAACTTGGTATAGATATTTCTCCCGTGATTAAAACAAAAGCTGTAATAGTGTACTTTTTTCTTATGCATTCATTATATAAACAGATCCTTATTATGTGTACTATATTTTCGAAAGCTGTCTACTGCAGGATGTCTGCACACATTGTGGTACTAATTCCAGGCCACTGCTATTGGCCCTTTTTTCTTCTTGACACTCTCATCTGCTCATATAGCTTCAGTCATCCTCTCTACATTAGTGTTTGCCAAATGGTCCTTCACTAGCCCTGATTTTTCTTTTGGGTTTCAGTTCCACATTTCTGATGGTCCACTGGACAAATGTAACCAAGTGTTCCACCCAAATTTAACACAACCAAACTGAATCATCTTCTTTTCCTCTTACTAACCCAGTAACTCCTGTCAATGAAGGTATCATTCCCTTGGCTACCCAGGCTCTACTCCACTTCCTCCCTTCCCCCATAGTTCCTCATCAGATCCTAGCACTTCTTACTTCAACACAGCAATATCATGCCCTGGTCACATGATTACAAGTTTGGGGTTAGAAAGACTTGAGAACATTACTTAACTGAGATCTCTAATGCCTCACTTTCCTCATTGCTAATATAAGGTTAAAAATACGTACCAGAATTGTTTTGAAGATTACATGATATAACGCATATAAGAATCTAACAGCATATAACAAGTTCTCACCATTATGTTGTTCTCTTCCCTTTCTATTTCCATAGCCAGAATTGTAGTTGTGTCCCTCACAATATTTCTCTAAATGACTGCAATAATTTCTAAACTCTCTGTTGAAAGTTGGGTGGACACTTTTTGCTAAACTATAAACTCCATTAAGAAGGTCAAGGACTTTTGTGTATTCATATTAGCTTTCTTTGAAGCATACTGCATGAACCATGGGCTTATTTTTCCATCAAAAAAATGATTAAAATGGTGATCTTACCTGGAAGTTTGTTACAGAGTATGAGAACTTATTTTCAGTATAATGAATTATCTAAGGACACTTTTAATTTCATTACTGACCTTTATATGATCTTCATTAAATCACTTCAAATATTTGTTAGTAATTTGCTCGACTGTTTTAGGTGTGGGAGCAATGACTGATGGCTTCATCCCTCAGTTCATCCTTCTGTTCCTTGAAGAGATAAATATCTTTAAAGAGTTGTGTTCTGGCTTCACAGTCATTGCCTATGTTCACTAGAGGGCAATGTTGCTAATAATCAGGCTCTGGACAATTTCATTTTTGCATTGTCTTTGTTAGAGTTACTAGTTTAAGGGTCAAAAGTTTAAAGACTAAAATATGTGTCACATACGTAGTACCTCACTGACTCTACGACAGTGGTTCTCAAACTTCTATATGTATATGAATCACCCTACAACTGTGCTGTCCAATACAGTAGCCACTAGCCACATGTGGCAATCGAGCACTTGAAACGTAGACAGTACAAATTGAGATGTGCTCTAAGTGTAAAATACACACCAGATTTCAAAGATTGCATTAAAAAAATGTAAAATATCTCAATAGTTTTTATACTGTTTATATGTTGAAATGTTTGGTTATATTGGGTTAATAAAATATATTAGTATTAATTTCATCTGACTATTTTCATTTTATTAAATACATGGCAACTAGCACATTTAAAATTACATATGCAGCTTGCATTTGTGATTCATGTTATATTCCTATTACACAGCATTGCCCCTGACGCTTGTTTAAAATGTTGATTGTTGGGTCACACTTTTGGAGATTCTGCTTTGGTAGTTCCAAATTGGGGACCAAAAATCTGAAATTTTTTGGCTCACCAGGTTTCAATTGATACATCAGGGTAGAGAATCAGTTTTGTATAGTTTTCAACATGGTCTTCAGAACAGCAGTGATTCAAAGACCACAAAGACAATATTAATTATCAATTTCAATTGTGTAATAATTGCTATCCCATAATAGTCATACATGGTTTTCAATTAGCAAAACACACTTCAAAATATAATCACATCACACAATCATTTTGTTGGAATATAGGGAAGGTGAGAACAATTAAGCAATATCTATCACAAACTTAAGTACACATAAGCTTTGACTCAATTCTAGAAATTGATCCTGCAGATATGTTCTCTCAAGCTCACTTTAGTACTGTTTGACATAGTTAAAAATTGAAAATTGATTAAATAAATTATGATACATCCAACTCAATACTATGCAGCTTATAAAAAGGAATAAGGTCATCTATAGGTACTGATATGGGAAAATGTCTATGATATTTATGAGAAGGAAAAGGAAGTTGCAGAAGAGTATAAAGATCCCATGCGTATGTGAAAATACATATACATATACTTGTATACGCATAGAAAATTTCAAAAAGTGTTAGTAGTGGTCACTGCTGGAGAGTAGACTGGGGAAATTACCAGGGATGTGGAAAAGAATTTTTACTTTGCTTCTTATATCTTTTTGTACTGTTTTTTTTTAAACTAAGAGCAATATACAAATTTATATTGTATGTTACAAAACTATATAAAAATGGCATAATGCCCAGCCGCGTAAATACTATATCGTTTAGGTTCCAGTTAGAGGAATTTGCTTTTCACTCTATTTTTTAATCTGGAGTTTCATCTTCATTCTAATTTTCTAAAAAGCCACCGAATATATTCATTAATTCATTCGTTCATTTAACACCTAATTACTGACAACCTACGTCATGCCAGGCAATGTTCTAAGCCAGAGAAATAAAACAGTGCACAAAAACAGATGTACTCCTCACATACACTCTAACAGGGGAGACAGACCACAAACGCACACATAAACAATTCTAATTAGTATGAAGTGCTATGAAATAAAGACCTGAATTTTCAAATGCTGAAATGTTCACACGTCGTGTTGTGCACATACACATTCCTATATATTCACCCAGACATGCTAAGTAATGAAAACACTGCTTTTGAATATTTTAGGTTTGTCTTTTGGATAAAGTATTCAGTGATACTTCTCAAATTAATTTTTCTCCTGCATTCAGCATAACAAATTTAGTACAAAGAAATGAAAAATAGTGAAACATTTCAGCTCTGTGGCCTTAGGCAAACTACTTAGCTGCTTTAGACCTCAGTTTTCTCCTCTGCGAGATGAGTATTTACCTCTAGGGTTTGCTGTCTCAAGGAGACTCCTATGGGCTGGTTGGAGTGTAACAGCAGTGCCTGGCACGAGGAAACGGGGGTGAGCTGGGCCCCTGTTGGGCCTTGACGCCCGCCCTGGGGCCCAGCTGGGCCGCCTGCAGCGCAGCGGGGTAGCCCTAGAAGAGGCGCGGTACTCGCGCTGTGGACCGGAGGATAAACGCGGAGTTTTCACTTTTTCCACCCGGACATTTCTGCCAGCCAATTTCCATTTTCCGGCGTGCTGGAACCAGTTCCTTCAGCGACCGCCGCTGGGCGCCAGCCAGCCTGGCTGCTCGAGTCGGTCCTAAACTGACGCCACCCTGCGCTACAAAGTTCAAGCCCACTCCCAGCCCCGATGTGTCCTGGGGGAACCTGGCTCGGGGCAGGTGGTGGCCTCGTCCCCAACAGCATCTATTAGTTTGAATTCTGGCGCCACTCCCGCGCCACGTAGGGCCGAGTAGCCGGCCAGACTCGGAAGGTACGGATCGCAGCGTGCCAACGGGCGCGCGCCGCGGAGTGGACGGGCGCGCGGCGGGCGTGCGGCGCGCGCACCACGTCCCGGAACGGGCCCCCGAAGAGAAGAACCGCAGGCACGCTCCCGCTTGTTCGTCTCTAGAAACGGCCACGCCCCATCTTCTCCCGCGTCCAATAGGTGCGAGAAGGAGGGACGGCCTCGTTCTGAGTCAGGAGAGGCTATATAGGGAGCTGCTGGCGCCGCAGTTCGGTCTTTTACGCGGGGATTTGGGCGCTGTTGGTTGTGTCAGGTGAGTGGGTGCTGCGGGAGAGTATCCAAGTGAAAGGTGACGCAGGCTGAGGTTAGGGGACTCGGTACCGCTGAGCGATCTTAGAGAATTGAGTTTACGGTGCCAACTGTTGAAAGCTTGCGAGTGGAAAACACGCAGTCGGACCGCCGAGTCTCCTGAGCTTGCGTCGTGGCGGCGATAGGTTTAGAGCTCGGGCGTGAGGACACTGCTGATCTCCTTCGGGATCCGAGCGCGGCCCGAAGCCTGAGCGGCGGCGGGGCATTACTTTAAGAGCAAGGGGCCTTTACTGACATGGTGAATGTCTTTCTCCCGTCTCCAGATTATTTCAAATTGGTAATCCCGATCCTGTATGAGACTGGGCTGTTCTGTGCCCAGGCGGCGTTGTGTGCAATTCGGGTTAACGAGGGGCGGGGGAGGGTTCAGTGTTGAAATCTGACATTCTTTGAGAATGTTTAATTTTAAACATACCGATCCCCTGCAGGAACAATGGCGCCGTCTTTCAATGCTGTATCAGAGCACTACTGTGGATATGCTAAGGTAAGGACTGATAAACTTAGTTTTCAAACTGAAGCAGTAAACCTGTTGATTTACAGTAATAGAAAATGGTTCAACATTTGAAATTTGCTTTTTACTTTTTTAGATGTATAAGCAAATCCCAAAACGTCTAGTAGAATATTCAATGAGAAATTACATGATTAAAACCTGACAATCTTCATAGGTATGTGGTGTTGGACTAGTTCTTTAAGATTGAGCATACGTTTAACCCATACATAAACTAATGAATTTTTCTTTGGCCGTTGAACAGTGTCCTGGTTGTGAAAATACTAACGAAGCTATTGGCGTCACTGACTAGCAACTTCATTTTAAAGTAAGTTGTGTGGCTTACTAGTTCTGTAGTATTTTTGTGATATAGCACTTGCCTTGGTTTATGGTAAATATCACTGAACTACAGCTTAATATGTACACATACTAGGCATGATGGGTCTAATCAATGATGAAAGCTATCCCGAAGCTGATTACCTGAAGAAAAGCATGTACGGATTCGGCTTCTGAGATGAGACCAATATGCAGAAGTGAGATAATTTTTATTGTGTGGATTTTATAACAGTTCTGTTCACAATAGTTCACAGTCCTGGTTTTTTTCCTGCCAACAGTGAGGGTCGCTGTCAGCCCAATGAAAGAGGCCAGCTTGCTGTGAAGTTCCTGAAGTGCAACGATATCTGTAAGTGGACATTTTTTTGCTCAGCAATTAGTGAATATTGTGTCTTTGGTCTGATCTATGATGATCCTATCCCGAACCTGAATTTCTGTTGAAAAATAAATAATACGGATCTGGCTTCTGAGATAGACCATTGTAAGCACAATTTTTACTAAAAAATATTTTATGCTTTTAAATAAAATAAGTGATGATAGTCTTGTAAATCTCATGTTTTTCCCTTTCTAGGGCTAGTACCACGAGGTTTGTTGTATGGAATGCTGGTATTAAGGAAAACATCCAGAAAAAGCTCTTCGTTTTACAAACATCAAAAGGAAACAAACAAATTTTGGATGATATTTGGTTTTTTAATGGAAAAGTATTTGCTTTCAGCTAACCGGCCTTGTAATCAAATTCTGAATGAGTGTTTCACCTTTAGCTGCCTGTTTGAATTTAAAATGCATAATTGCAATTAAAATTGAGTGAAATTTTATACTGACTTGTGGAAGAATCCTTAGTAAGACTTTTATGGAGAGATGACTCAGTTTGGCATTGACCACAAGAATAAGGTATGGAACACCTTGTCTTTGTGTGGGGTACGAAGTATTTCTGGGTTAATATAGGTAAGAGCAAAGTAGAACGACTGAAATTATTAAAGCAAAGAATACTAGGCATTAAAATAAGTGATTACTAATCATGGAATATTTAGTCCTGATGTAATTTTGAAAGTTAGGATGCTCAAGCTGAAATATGGGGAATAAGATACTGAAAATAAAGGAAGAGAGCATGGCACAATAAAGGAGTTTTTGATTAACCAGCATTATGAGGGAAGTTTCCTGATAAGACGGTCTGGGTTAAAACTAGTCAAACTGTTACTCAATGGATTTAGTGTAAGCAGTGATCTAATCTAGATGTTGGGTTTCGTGCGTGCATGGTCATTTTCCATAAATAGTCAACCAAGCCCAGATTTAAATGTTATTGTCCAAATGATATTTTTATCAACTTATAACGAATCCTGTTATTTTCCTAAATTATTTTCTCTACCTTAATGAAAGGTTGGGTGTTTTTTGGACCCATGGAACCCATAATGGAGTAAATATGGCCTTATAGCTCAGGAGAGGTTCATGAGAACAAGAGTAATGAGTGTATATGAGCAGTGTACCGGCCAGACGCAGAATTTGCCCAAGTACAAGACAATGTACAGAATCTTTGGGTCTCCAGAAATGTTTCTTGCAGCCATATTAAAATACAAAGTATTAATGCTGCCACATAGATGTTTTGGGTATTATAATTAAAAACCCATAGGAACTAGGGATTATACAGTGAACTAAACATACAGTCAAGTGTGTTTCCAATAAGATTAATAGGAATAAATTAAAATGGGGTGATTGACCCTGTATGGGCTATTCATAGGAAGCTCAAGGTGTCCTTCAAGTTTGAAGGAGCCAACCTTACATAAATGGGTGGTTCCCAAATCCAGGGCAGGGCTCTTAATTCTTTAAGGCTTGCTGCAATCTAGGAAGGAAAAGATGACATGGCATAATCTGTTACATATGTAAGTGAGCATACAAGTAGAATAAGGGAAGCTATGGGGCCTTGGACAAGTAAAATTGTTTGGAGTTAGAAAGTGTACTTCCACACATGAGGATTCAATGAGACAGTATATGTAAAATGTAGTGAAAACTGTTGGACATTGTACCCGTGACCCCTGACCCCACCATTACTTACGTGGTCTACTTGAAACTTATAACATTCACTATAAATTGTCATTGTCTTTCTCACTCTGCTAGAATTTAAGCTTTAATTTGAGGGCCAGGATCTATGCTCATTGACATGTCTCATGTACCAAAAACATGAGACATGCATTTAATAGTGTACAGTAAATGATGTAAGACTAATTGTTGATCCCACACAAAACTTTCAGGGAAGAATGCCATTATCCTTTGTCAAAGCTGGCAAACACTTCCAAACAAGGTAAAGTTGTGAAATAAGTCCTCTAACCACTTTTCCTGCAGTTCCTTCTGATTTTACTCCCTTGCTTCTCAAAAGATCTTTTAATATGTCACATTTCCTTAGCTGATAGTTGTCCAAATTAGTACTGTGCATTTACTTTATACATTCATTGCACTGTACTAAGCTCTGCCAAGGAGTCCAGAGATAAAACACTTAGGAATACAAGAAGCCAAGAAAAAAAACAAACTAAAGGGAAATACAATAGAAATCCTTCCTGTCTGAGAAGATTGAACAAGTGGATTTGAGTCAAGACCAACTCAGATGTGGAAAAGTAACATTTAGGAATAAATACTTTCAGCGAAGACAGTATGGTCCAGAACCTGAAAATGACATTCTGAGAATTTGGTTACCAATAGGGTGGATAGATATGGGACATAGTTGGGAGATAAGGCTGAAATGTTAAGAAGTACCCTTACTAAGGTACTTAGAAATGAAAAATACTGTTCTTGTAGCCATTTGAATTCTTTAGAATTTAACATGCTTTCAGTAGGAAAATGTGTCAGGAAATCATGTCCTTCCTTGACTCTGGAGGATCCACACCTAGATAAGAGATCCAAAAAAGTACAATTTTAGGGAATTACACTGAAAGCTTAACATGTAATTAACATCAGATTTGATTAAATTTACTAATTCAAAACTTTTCATATGTACGCGGTATCATTTTTCAATCATACAGCAGAGGCTGTTGGAATCTAATTTACTGTTACTAAGTTAGACAATACTAGTTAAGATCAGGGACATACTAGTTAAGTTGTTAGCTAGGTAAGGAATTTATCCCCCAGAACATCTGCACTTTAATAGAGAACTCAGTACAGACGCAAAGCATTAAAGACCTAAAGTAACTTGACTATTAAGATCAGGGACATACTAGTTAAGTTGTTAGCTAGGTAAGGAATTTATCCCCCAGAACATCTGCACTTTAATAGAGAACTCAGTACAGACGCAAAGCATTAAAGACCTAAAGTAACTTGACTATAATAGACTGGGATATGGTTTCAGAAGTTGAAAACAGAACTTACATCACCTGGCTTTAGTAACTTCTAATAGGAATTCTTTTTAAATATACTAGGCTTAAACATACCATTTGCTTTCTAAAATTAGTTATATTGCCAGAAACCCCGTATTCACTGTGCTTGGTTTCCCAATCAAGGGTCCTACAGCTGATTAATGTACCTCGTACTCATAATCCTTGCTCTTTGTCCTGCATATGTGAAAGAGCTTTTGGCTGTTTTCATGGATTTTATATACCAGTTCTCCTATTAGGATTTGAGGCTTTATTTGAATCTCAGCCTACTAGGATACTCTGCTTATCTTTTGACAGTCCCTCTTCTCTGGGAGTAGGACCCTTTTTCCCATCTTTCCTCGCAAAAGCTTGGTTCTTCCAGCACAGTACTTAAAAAACTGACTGAATATTGGCACTGCCTCTGGTCTTGCTCCACCCACTGGTGTTACATATTTGGGTATGTTCAGAGTTCAAATGAAATCCAAATTAGTCATGAAGTTTTGGAAAGTTTACAAGCCATCTTGGGGTAGGGGAAGAGGGTCCTTTTCACTATGAGAACCAGACTCCTTAATCTCATTCTCATGAGTCCTGGCCTCCTCCCCTGACCACTAGTTCACTGTTGAGATCACAGCATGCTGTGTAGCTGAGTTTATCAGTTATAATAGGAAATAAGGATATAATCTTAGAATGCCAAATCAAGTACAATACAATCCAACCTATTTAAGAAATTTATCTTGCTATAATTAATTGATTGTAGTTCTCTTCAAAAGAACAATGGAATAATGAAAAATCCATCTCAGGATGCACATAAAATTTATCATTTGAAAAATATAACACAGTCAATGTGCCACATGGCATACCGGTTAATGACAGGCCACATATATGACAGTGGTCCCACAAGATTATAACAGCTGAAAAGTTACTATCACTTAATGACATAATGGCTGTCATAACATTGTAATGCAATTAGTTTTTTAAAAAGTGTAGCTGAAGTGTATGATGTTTATGAAGTCTGCAGTAGTGTACAGTAATGTTCTAGATCTTCACATTCACTTACCACTCCCTCACTCAACTGACTCACCCAGAGTGACTTCCAGTCCTGCAAGCTTGTAAGCTCTTTTCATGGTAAGTTCCCTGTTCAAGTGTACCTTTTCTTTTTTGGCAGCTGGCTGGATTTTTAAAATCTTTTATACCATACTTTTGCTGTACCTTTTCTGTTTAGATATGTTCAGATACACAAATATTTTCCATTGTGTTACAATTGGCTACAGCATTCAGTACAGTAACATGCTATACATGTTTGTAGCCTAGGAGCAGTAGGCTATATCATCTAGGTTTCTGTAAATATGCTATGGTGTTCACAGGACAAAATCACTTCACGCATTTTTCAGAATGTATCCCCATCATTAAGCAATGCATGACAGTATAGTGTATCACTTTACTGAGGTAAGGAAACTTTTGACTTGTCCTTGCCTCCTAACTTTATAGAAGATAGTTGATGTACGATAAATTGCACATTTTTAAAGTGTACAGTTTGATGAGTTTTTACACGGGTAAAAACATGAAACCATTACCATAATCAAAATAATAACTATCACTGTCAAAAGTGCCCTCTTGTAGGGACTTGATTTTGAACATGTTAAATTTGAGATGGCATATGATGTCCAAATTGAGATTTTGAGCAGGCAGTTAGATATAGATTAGTAGATTAGATGCAATCACTAAGGGAGAGATAGAAAAGAGAAGTGGTCCAAAAGCTGAGCCCTACCGCATTCCAGGATTAGGACATTCCAAGTTTAGTTCAAATCCTGGAAATTATTTTGTACCAAGGGGCAAAACTTGAGAAGCAGAAATCTATTGTCAAGTTCAAGTGCCGTATTTGGAACAGAAACTAGATAAAAAACTAAGGAAGCCTGGGATGAATGAGCAAGAAAAACAATGACGAGAACTGTACAAATAATTGCTTAGGGTGGTGGGGCTGGAAATAACCTTGTATTTAATGCAGAGTATTTGTTAGCATAAAAAAGTTAATGTCTGATGACAGCTTTGCAAAATAAAAGACAGTGATCTTCAGGAAAGAATGAGATTATAAGGATACCACTACATTGTCCTGGGCACCGAATTTTCATTAGACACTGGAGATAGAGTTGTAGATTTGCCTACCAGTGCTGAAGTGCCAAAAACTACCAATTTTAACAAAATTAATCAGGATATTTCTTCATTATTCTCCCTTGGTGCTTACCTGCCGGGGAGCAGAAAGCAGATGACTAGATTAATCCAATATTAAGGGATAAACTGGCCAGGAGGAGTAAAGTGCCAAAAACTACCAATTTTAACAAAATTAATCAGGATATTTCTTCATTATTCTCCCTTGGTGCTTACCTGCCAGGGAGCAGAAAGCAGATGACTAGATTAATCCAATATTAAGGGATAAACTGGCCAGGAGGAGTAGATCAGTGATGGGACAAGAATGTTGAGG